CAGGGGTTCTGCCCGTGGGCGAGGGACGGCGTCCGCGCAAACCCCAGTCCTGCTCTGACCCCAGGGCCACGCGGCAACCACCCTGAGCAGGGCCGGAGTTTGCAGGTGCCAACCCCTCGGGGCCAATGACAAGCCTGTCCCTGCGCCCCGTCCTGGTCTGCTCAGGGTCCCCGCTGTCGGAGCACGTGCTGAGTCCCCCCTGGGGTGACCACGTCCTGTCACTCTTTCCTGGTGACCGTGGTGGGTGCTTAGGAGTCAGGCCACCGGCCCCTGGGGGTGCGGCCTAGTGAAATAAACCGCCACCCCAAGTGGCCACGCCTCACGGCTTTGCTGCCAGGGGCCATGGACCACGGGCCACGGTCACGGCCCTGCCTTCCTGCAGGGTCCCCTCGGCTCACGTTCACCCCTGAAGTGCCCGAACACGTCCGTATAACTCCCCCTCCTCCGTGCCCCTGGGTCTGTGCAGCACCCCCGACATGTGCCAGGCTCCCTCGGCCTGCATCCCCCTTGTACTGGCTAACCCACGGGCCCTGCACCCCAAACCTTCCGGATGAGGGGCAGCATCACACATTCTCCCATGAGGGGCCCTCTGAGCACTGCCCACGCCTCCGAGAGAGCCCTTCTGCCCGCTGACCCACGCACGGCGGGCCCCTCGGGGCAAACCTCAGGCCCGTTCCTCCGGGACCCTCCCGAGCGACACACCTCCCGTCTGGGTGGGATGCCACCCGTGTCCACTGAACAAAGGAATGTGACCCGGCCACGGTCTCTTCAACTGTGTGCTCTGAACGGGACGGGCACTGTAAGGCGCCCACAGGCACCCTCCTTTGCCAGCTTCCCCGGCAGGAGCTGCGGGAGGCGATGGGGTGGGCACCCCGCCCCGCGCACCCATGGCGACTCTGGCTCAGGTGGCTGCCGAGTGCCGCCGTGAGGGGCTCCCACAGGCGGTGTCCTGGGTGCGGGCCCCAGGCTGCTGTGGGAGACACAGTCCGTGTTGACACTCTCCTGGGGCCGCGCAGCAGAGAGCACTCCAGGCCCCCATGTCTCACCTCCCAGCAGCCCCACTGTGCACCACATCACCGTGGTTCCCGGAACACACCAGAGCCCCGAGGGACCCCTGGAGGCCGGGCATCAGTGGCTTTGAACTGTGGCCCGAGGTTCACGGCCCCGAGGGGCCCCGGACGGGGCCAGGGGTGGCAGGTGCCAGCGATGACAGGTGGTGTTGGGATCTGTCAGTCACGGGACAAGCTGTCTGGGCAGCAGGGCTGGGCCTGGCGGAGCCACGGGAAGCCCGGCCCGGGAGCGCCCAGGACCGGCGGCTCTGTCTGTCCTGCCCCACACGGAAGGACCAGGGATGACATTGGACGTGGGACTACGGGGTAGACCCCACAGCGTGGCCTGGCCAGCTGCCCCTTCTGGCTGCACGGGGTGAGGGTTTGGTCGGGGCCTGGAGTTCTGAAGCTGTTGGGGCCAGTGGCTAAGCTGCCCGGTGAATCAATGAGTGAACGCAGTAAGTCCTCATTGCACACCTACTAAGCTTCAGGGGGCGGGCAGGGTACCCGGCATTTTGGAGGGAACAAACCAGGCCCCGTCAGGCCACTAGGGAGCTGTCAGGAGTCGTGGGTCGAATGGATTAGGAGGGAAACTAACGATGGTGGCTCCAAAAGAGTCACGTCCCAGTCCTAACCCTGCCCCTGGCACGTGACCGCATTTGGAAATCGGGTCTTTGCAGGTGCGATCAGTTACGGATCAAATGGGATCCACCTGGGTTTCGTGAGAGCCCTGCACCCGAGGACTGGCCCTGTCAGAGGACACGGCGATTCGAGAGGCACAGCGGGGGCACGGAGCCCCGAGACACCAGGTCTCAGACGCTGACCTCCGGGCCAGGAGAGAATCAGGTTCTGAGGCTCGACGACCCCCAGTCGGCGGCAGCTTGTTAGTTTCCCTCCTAATCCAATAGTCACACAGGTGCAGGCTCTGGTGCTGTGAGCGAGAAGGGCAGGAGGACTTCCTGTAGGAGGAGGCCACACGTGTAAGCAGGAATGAACGGTTGGTGGGAGGAGGGGCCGGCACACCCAGGGCAAGGTCTGGGCA